TATAAGTAATTGTATATAAAATAAAAAATGATTAATTAAAAATTTGAATTAAATAAAGTGTAAAACTAATATGTAAACTGATAAATTCTTATTATGTATATAATTTATTCAAAACTAGAAAAAACTAAAGAATAAGTAATATTTAAGTTTAAAAATATTTATAAATATAAAAATGTATATATACTAAAATATAATATATATTAATAAATATATTTAAACATATAAATATATATCATATAATATATATATATATATATATATTATTTATTTTATAAAAATAAACTATTATTTTTATAATGATTATTTATTAATTAATTCCGAACTTAAATTTAGTAAATTTTTGATTATAGAATTAATATTAAAATCTCATATAATATTTTATATATTTTTAATATTAATATATATATATTTTTTTTATTTCAAAAATAAAAATTTATTTACTAATAAATATCTTTTTATGAATTTATATATTAAACAATTTATCCTATAATAAGTTATTTTCTAAAAACTAAACTTAATTTAGAATTAATGTATAAATTATACACTTTATGCACTTTTTTTATGAAAGTCATTATTAGTTAATAAAAGAATCAAATTAAAATTAATAAATGAATGATTATTCAGTTAATCTTAAATATATTTGCATACATTTAGTATTATGCCTACTGTAAAGAATATATAATATAGCATAAATGGTTTACGGCTTAAAAATTTAAACGCATTTTTAAATTGAGTAAATTGCTTGGTTTTAGAATACATTTTTTTTGAATATTTATTAAATAATTGGGTTTTAAATAAGAATAAATAAAATAAATTTCTGAAGTCAAAATTTACATTAGAAATTAAATATTTAATGAATTATAAAAATATAATATTATTGACATAATTTTTTATACTTATATGTTATGTATAACCTTTATCTCATATTTTCGAGTAATATTTATTTAGTATGTTTAAGGTTTTATTTTATAGAGTTTACGAGTTATGTATTAAATTATCATTAGTTATAATACTTACTTTTAACTTTTAAACTAAATGATTTTATATTTGTTATTGTTGCTTTTTTATCTATTTATATTATGTTTCTGACATATTTTATAGCATTTCGTATAAATAATTCATTATATTTTCTATTTGGTTAAGTACACGAAATTAAGAACTTTCATTTTGCAAATCTTAAATAAACAATGCTTATTTATTATATATAATTTTACATATATTCTCGATTTTAGTAAGAACATTTATTAGTGTATTTTTAGAAAATTTCATCATTTTATACCAATAGCTTACTTACCGAAATTTCATTATATAGGAATTGCAAAAAATATAAAAATTCAACTCATTTTATTTTCTGGAATAAATTAAATTCATAAATCTTACATTTATTAAAAACAATATAATTCAAATTGGGTTGTCCTTCAAATGGCTATTTTTCATTTTATATTTCTTTGAAAATTTTTAATTAATCTTCAAAATTTGTACTTTAAGATTTAGTATGGATTTTATATTAGCATAATTCAAGTCTTATTTTTATTTAAATGAGTTAATTATCAATATATTTAAACCATTTTAATAATTATTATTTAAATTTGATTTAATTTTGTTTAATTTAATGGTTTCTTTTATTATTATTATTAAAAAAAAAAAAAAAAATATTTTTTATTAAATATTATAATTATTTTTAGATTTATTTTTATTTAAAAATAAGAATAATAAAACTTTTTAATAAAAAAAATACTTTTTATTAAAAAAAGATTATTTCAAACAAAAAATATATATATTCAAAAACAAAAAATCTTTATTTTTTAATATTAAGATTTTTTTCTAATTTAAATAATTTATGTATTTTTAATTCTAAAAATAGGTTAAAATCAAACAATTTTCTATTTAAAAATTTTAATAAAGCAAATGCCAATTTAATTTTTTTCTTTCTTAAAAACAACTTTTCTAAAACCCTTTAAATTTTCAAATTCTAAAACTTATGATTTTTTAATTATTTTCATTTTTTTTTTTTCTTCCAGTAAATAAACACACACTACTACTCCTTTAAAAAACAAATTATTTTTCTCTTTTCGAAAATCCCCTTATATCCCCAAAATCATCTAATGTAATCCCTTTTCAAACGTGTCTAAACTATAAAATCCTATAAAACCTTTCTTATTATTCCTTAAAAAAAACTTCTAATATCTCCAAAAACTCCTAATAAGAAAACCTAAAAGATAATCAATTCGTAATCTTTTCTTCCTAAATCTCACAGAATCCATAACTTCCACCCCCCTCCCCCCACAACTAATATATAACAAAATTATACTAAAAAAATACTATTTTTACTCTTATTTGGTTTCATACACCTAAAAATGCAGTATATAAGGATTAAATAATTTAGTAAAGTTTAAAGTTGAAATTTTTGGATTTGTACCTCTTTAAAAGTAAATAATATATAATTTAATTAATTTTTTTTACAGGTCTATTTATATACTAAAAATGAAGAATATAAATACATATTTATTAGAATCTTGAAATTCGCTTAAATTTATAAAATTAAAAAAATAAGCTTATACAAAACATAAATAATTTAATATATATATATGATATTAATAATAGTTTTTATTATAAATGAGTCTTTATGATTATATTATTAACATTTATAGTAACAAGAATTTCGACAAATCTAATTTCCAAGAAATGGCTTTAAATGATACAGATAAATAATTTTATGTATTAATTTTTCCTGTTTTTAAATCATTAGATATGGATGCCGTTTCAAAATTAATAAATTATGAAAGAAATAAATGATTATATATGTAAAAAATCATTTATTTATTTATATAAAAAAGTAATTTTTGTGAATTTATTAAGTGAAGCCAATGATTTAAATGGAAAAAAAAATTAGGAAGATTTTTTTTTAAAATATTCATAAATTTTTTTTTATTTTATAAATACTTAGTATGTTTTTACATAAACATATTGGAAGGCTTTTAAGAAAAGTTATTAGTTTAAATCTATTTTGAAGATTATGTAGTAATAAGCTATTAAAATTAAGTTTTTTTATATTATAAAAAGATTTTGTATTAAGATTTAATTGGTCTTTATTTTTTGGATAAAAATGAAGTTGTTTAAATAATTTCGATTTAACTTTTAATTTAATTCAGTAAGTTTTTGAAGGAAAATATAAAGTTAAAACCTATTATATTAATAAGAATTATAACATTATAATATAAAATAAAGTATTTATATAACATATTTAAAAACAAAAATATAAATATTTAAGTTTAGAAAAAAAAGTTAAAGAAAAATAGGTTTTTTAAATATTTCGATTCATAAATAAATTATGATATAAATTAATTTAATAAAAATATTTAAATGGTTAGCATGAATATAATTGAAAAGAAAGATGAAATTTTTTAAATAATTTAATTTTTATTAAGTTAAAAAATATGGAATATATATATAAAAAATAATAAAGTTATAAAGATAAGAAAAAAGATATTTTAAATAAATTTATAATATAGATAAATATAAATTAAATTTATAAAAAAGAAAAAAAAAATTAAATATTTTTATTTATATTTTGATAAATATATTTTTATATATATCTATTTTTTATTTTTTATATATATTAATAATAAAAAAAATAAAATACAGTAAATGTAATTAAATAATTATATATTTTTTTTTTATATATATAATATTTTATTAAATATTTTTTTTTTATATATATTTTTATAAATTATTTATTTGTTTTTATTTTTTGTATTATAAATAATTATATTATTTTTAATTTTTATATATAATATTAATTTAATTATTTAAAAAATAAAAAATTAAAATATAATTTAATTATATTCTCTTAGTTTATTAAATATAGTTTTATATTATTATTTTTATTTTTAAAAACTATCATATTTTTATTCTAATATTACAAAATTTATTTTTATTATTATAATAATATAATATTAAATAAATATTCATATTGAATTAATATAATATTCCATTAAATTTTATAATATTGATTATTTATTATTTAAATTACATTATAAAACTTGTAATGTAATGAAATAAATATAATTTTAGTTCTAATTATATATTAAAAATATATTATATCAACTTACTTCTTTTTATATTTATTTATTAATAATATATTTTAGTATTTAACAATATTTAATTGATATTTTAATACAATATTATTAAATTAAAGCTTAATATGCTTTTTAAGCTATTTATTCTTAAATTATATTAATTAAATCTATTAAAATTTTATAAATATTTAATATTTATATAAACTTAAATAAGTAAATATAATGAATATACAAATTTCGCTTATTTAAAATATTCTAGGATTCCTAATATAATTATAGATCTTAGTCTAAAATTGAAGTTTATGTATATGATATTTTATTATTGATAAAATTTGAATATAAAAATGATAAAATAATTCCTAAAATTTATAAATTAAAAAAATTATATTTATTTTATTTAATATTATATGATTATTTTATTTCTTAAAAAAAAAAAAAAAAAATTCTAATTTTTGAATAATATAAATCTCCTAAAAATTTAGATTGTAAAATATTAACATATTTCTTACAAAGATATTTTCTTTCTTTTTTCCTTTGAAATAATTTATTTATTAAATTAAATCTATAAAAAAAATAATATTATAATTAAAAATAATTCCATATAAATAAATATATATTAAAAATAAGAATAATTTGATAATTTTTATTAAATAAAATTAAATATTTTATATATATCTATAAATTACTTTTAACCAAAAAATATTTGGTTTTTTGCATCAATTTTTCTATATGTTATCTATTAAAAATTAAAATAAATTGTTGTGGATTATAATGGATTAATAATTTAATGAATAAAATTATAAAATAGAAAATTAATCATATAATAAAAAAAAAAAAATTAATAAAAAGTAAATTATAAAATAAAAAGAAATTAAAAATCACATAAAAAAAAAATGTCTAAATTTTTATAAAATATATTCTTATTATTGATAATAATTCAATTGTCATAATAAACCTATTTTTAAAAAAATAATAAATAATAAAATGAAGATTGCTCATGCCTAGAATAAAAATATTTATTACCTGAACCATTTCGTGTAAAAGGATAAGCATCTAAAACTTTGAATGATACATCTTTTGTAGTTTAATTTACATTAGAAACATTAGAAAAAACAGCTACTAAATCTTTATAAATAAATAATGAAATTATAACTGAAGTTTAAAAATAATTGAAAAAAATTTAAAAATTAGTTATATCTACAAGCGAATTTTCTGTACAACCTAAATACAAATATGTATATGATAAATAAACTTAATAAGATAATTAGATTTTTGAAGGATATAAAGTAACAAACTCAATTTAAGTATAATCTGATTAGATTGAGCTTGCAGGATAGGTTATTGATATCGGAATATCTAATGGAATGACTGCAGTTGACTTTGTTTAATTTACGCCTAATTAATAAAATATTAAGGATTCTTAATAATCATTGATTGAAAGCGCAATATAAAATTCTTAATTTAAAGCTGAAAGCGCCCTTAAAGCTATTAATCATAAAATTTTATCAATTAAATCTATTGAAATAGTAGAAGATAATAAATATACGTAACCTTAAAAAAGTGATAGAAATAATCGTGCATATTCTGCTTCTGAAGCTGATTCTGCTGTTTCTACTTAACTTAGTGGATCTTAGTCAAAAATTGAAGTTTAGGTATATGTTACTTTTATTATTGAAAAAAATTGAAAATAATTATATTTTACCAAATTAAGCATTTATTATTTTATATTTAAAAAAAAAATTAAATATATGTATTTTCTTATATATATATATATATTATTTTCTATCTAATAAATTTTATAATAAAATAAAAGTTAGTTTTTTTAATAAATTATTATAATAAACTTAAAACATACATTTTATAAATTTTTTATCTTAATTTCTTAATACTAAAACTTATTTAATTTTCTAAAAATCCTTAAAAAATAAAAAAAAAAATATCTTCATATTTTTTATAACTCAACGACTCCTTTTTTTTAATTAAATAATTTTTAAAATTTTTTCATAATTAAAAAAGTTGAAAATCGAAATATTTTATACATAAAAGTTTATATAAAATTTACTATATAAGAAAATTATACTAAAAAACATCCGTTTTTTACTCTTATTTAAATTTAGATTATAAAATCACATTTTAATAATTAATCTTTTAAAATATTTAATTTTAATCGTAAATTATGACAAAATAAATTGTTTTATTTTATATTTATAAATTTATCAAAAAAAATCAAATATAAAACAAAAAAAATAACTGAATATCAAGTTATACGTTTTTTTAAACCCTAAAATAATAAATGCTTATCTCTAATTTTTTAAAGTATATATAAAAAAATAATGAATAATTAAATTTAATATTTAAAAATTTCTTTAAATATTATAATTATTAAATAATATTATTTTATAATAAATTATAACAAATTTATAAATAAATAATAATAAAACATTAGTTTATAGAAATTTAATATTAAAAGATTTTTTATATGTAATATAAAATATAATATTAATATAATTAATATTCATAAAACTTATAAATCAGAAATAAATCGAAATTCTCATTAGAAATAACTAAACAATATTATAAAATAAATATATAAAAAAATAAAAAAAAATAAGAAAAAATAATATAATATAAATATTATTATATAATAAATAAAAATAATTAAAAAATAAATATTATATAATATTAAAATATTATAATATATATATATAATATATATATATATATAAAATTAATATATTTAATTGATTTTTATATATACATTTATATTATAAATTTCTATATATTTTTATATTTATTTTTTAATTCACATATTTCTAATTTTAAATTATACTTATTTATACATAAAAATAACACTTACTATTTTTATTAAATTACTTTTATCGAAATATATACTAACATCTATTTATAAGTATTTTTTATAAATTATACACAATATATACTATAGTTTTCATTTTTAAATATATATAAAATTTAAATTTTTTTCTAAATTAATTTTTTTTATTATAAATTATTTGATAATTAATTATATTTAAAATTAATTATTTTTAAATATTTATTTTGAAACTTTTTAATATTTTAATTTTTCAGACTTAATTTTTAATAATATAAATTTTTTAAATATAAATATATTAATATTAATTTATATTATTAATTTCATATTTCTTAATAAATAATTTTATTTTATTTGATTTTTTTTTCTCCTTTATTAATACAAATCCAATAATATTTCTTAATCTAAATTAATTATCTTTTTTTGGTTTATAATTTCCAAAAGTATTTTATATGACTTTCTTTTCATCAATACTTTTATTATTAATTAATTTTTTTTTTTCTAATATTATTATATAATATTATTTTATATAATAACTTTTAATTCACATAATTTACTTTGGTTTGATTATTATTTTAGAATGTATAATTATTTTAATATATTATCTTATATAGCGTATTAATATATATAAGGTTTCAGAAGATTATTTTTTTATCTCTTTTTTTAAGTTTGTTATATTTAATTTAAATTATTTTCATAATTATATATTTAGGGCCAATTAAGTCAAACATTTCGTTTATACTGTTTGATATTTGAATGTCATTTGATGTTTAAATTTGAATGACATATTCTATATTCTAAATTTGATATGCCCTTTCATATAATTATTAAGTAATATATTTTTTAAATGATTATTATTTTTGAGATTTTTTTAATTTCATTTTAATTGCTTTTTGCCTGATATGGTGTTTTTGAATTCACTTTCAGATTATTAAAACCAATATTATGTTTATTGAAAAATCAATTATTCATATTTTTTTGTTAAACGAAGTATATATTTTATATATAATTTGTTTTGTATGAATAAGAAAAAATTATATATTTAATTTATTAATCAAAAAAAAAAAAAAAAAAAAAAAAGGAAAGGATGTATTTTTATTTAATTAACATATTCAAAAAATCAAATGAGCCCCATAATATCTAACTAAAAATCCCAAAAAGGAGCAAAATATTTGCAATAAAACAAGCTCTTAACATAATTACTTTTCCCCCAAAGGTCCCCTAATCCACAAATAGAGATTAATAAGGTTTAGATTGCTTTTAATTTTCACCAATTTACCTTTTTCTTTATCATAAAAAGGCAATCTATGTCTCGGACACTCCACAATTTTCAACAACTACGGCAAAGAATATACAAAATTAGCAATTTACGGTATAAAAAATAATAATAAAGTTTTCGAAAAGTGTCCCAAAATACCCACTGTGGCAAAAACCATTCCACTCCAATAACAGAAAGTATCCCCAACAAAAACTTCTGAAGGAAACTTATTAAATTAATATAAAGCTAAAGTCGTAAAAATATACGGCAAAATTATAATAACTGAAACATGTCTTGATTGAATATTTTTATCATCAAAAAATTACATTTCAATGACATTATGAATTAATACACAGCAACTAATTATTAAACTTTGGCTAACTTCCAACCCATTTATTCCGGCGTAAATATTAATTGAATTAGAACAAAAAGTAGCCACGCACATCATGTATAAAAAATAAATTAATCCTAAATCTACATAATCACCCAAAAAACCTCTCAATTAAATCGGTACTACTACATGAGTAACACCTTTATATGCAACTAAAATTGGTAAACAAGCTAAATTAGGTAATAACATCTTATATCTCCAAGGTAAATCAAATACATCGTCACAAAAACCAAGGAAAGTGCAAAATAAAATCGATAAAATTCCTGCTGTATGCTCCAAAACAAGATCCTCGTAATTAATTTTTACATATAATATTCCTAACATACTAAAAGTTATAAATATCATAGCTGGAACTATTCCTAAGCTTTCTGGAATGTCTATTTCTCCGCCAGGAGTACCTTTTTATTTATATCTTTTCCTTTTAATCCTGCTTTAATTGAATATTCTTTTACTATTGGGATTAAATTTTTTACAAATCTATATGTTAATGCTGATGAAAGTAAATACATTAAAAATGCTATTTTTATCTATGTAGTGGTGTAGTAATAATATGCAGTATAGGATACTGATGTTAATATTGTTGAGTATATTAAAATATCTTACATTATTTTTTTTATATACAACTTTTAATTAATAAAATATATTTTCTTTTAAATTATATTTTATTTTAATTTAAATCTTATAAAAAATAATAATGCTATTTATTTTTATCGTATTAAATAAATGTTGTTATTAATATTATTTTTTTATTTTATATATGAGAAAAAACTAATTTAAAATTAACAAAATAATATATATTTAACTTATAATAAAAAATTTATTCATATTAATTATATAAATTATTTTATTTTTTTTAATATAGAAAACACAAAAAAAAATAATAATTATAAAAAAAAGAAATGAATTAATTAAAATAATTAGGTATAATAGATTAAGAATAAGTAAAAAATGTTAATTTTCCTAAATATATAAGAACTGCGAATTTAATGATAGGGTAAATTATTAAAATTTTTAAATATATTTTGTAAACAAAATAGAGGAATATTAATATTTATTGGAATATGGAAAATAATAACCCTTTAAATACTCACCAATTTCTTTACTTTAAAATTCTTTAATATATTTGTACCATTTTTTTATATGTAAAATATATAATATAAAAAGTAAAAAATAAAAAAATAACAAATTAAAGCATTTTTGGAGTAATTTTATTTGCTACTGAATATAAACCTGATTTAATTCAAGAATATCTCAAATTTTTGAAAACTTATATTGGTCTAGGAATATTTTATTTATTGTAAAAAAATAAATATATAATAAATAACAATAATAATAATTTTATTAATTAAATAAATAAATATATATTAAAGTTTATCAAGTTTAACAGTTTATAATGTAGAAAATGAAACAAATTCACTTTTTGGATGGTTATATGGCACATTATTATTTGCTATAGGAATTTACTATTTGGGAATGCATTTTATTGTATATAAAAAAAATTATTATTAATTCTATTTTTATTTTTTTAGGATAGAAAAAATTAATAATTAAGTAGTTCTTCTTATACTGCAGTAATATTTTTAATTATAATAAAAAGTATATTTAAATATTTTTATTTTTTGTTTGTTTAATATTTAGCCTTTAGTTTGAACGAGAAGAAGATTATAGTTTTTTATATTTATTATTAATATATATATATATATATATCATTTTTTAATAGTAAAATTTAATATATATTTAGTTTTTTTAAATAATATATAAATAAAAAGTTTGTTTTTTTTTATTTTTAAATTAGCTTTTTTAAATATAATAATACTTAATATATAAACTTTTTTATTTTTAAATATTTAATAGTTCATTAAATGATAATTATATATATTATTAGTTTATATTAAAATTTTAGAATCAAAAATATATTTATATTAAATTTTTAATATAATAATTCTTTTTTTTTAACAAAAAAATATATATTTTAATATTTTTAAATAATTATATATCTTTATTTAAAGTTAATTAAATGCCTTTTTTTTATAAATTTTTTATTATAACAATTCCTTTATCATTTTGTGCAACTATTTCAGCATTTAGAATGGGAAAAAATCTCCCAATAGCATGTAGACATTTTGGAAGATAAATAGGAATGGGATATAATTATTTTAAAGTTATATTAAAATTGATTAAACCTGATACAGAAAAGCCTGCAGAAATTTTAGATTTATTAAGATAATCAAATCAATAAGTTATTTGTAATTATAATAAATTATTTATATATTATTTATTTTACAGTCTGCAGCTTTATCAAGGGAAATGAGAGAAAGCTTAGTAAAAATTAAAGAATAAATTAAACAAATAATTCCAAAAGAATTATAAAATCAAAATAATTTACATTTAAATTTATTCTAAAACTAATTCGATTAATTAAATAAAAAAATAGAATAAAAAAGTGAATATTAACAATAATTAAATGGATCTAATTTAATATAATAAATTTACGAAGAAAGGAAAAAAATAATAAATTAAAAAAACATTAAAAAACAAACTTTTCATGAAAAATTATGAAATTTATTTTTGTCCCTAATATAATAATTGTCAATAAAAAGAAAAAAGAAAAGAGTTTTTATTTATTTATTTTTTTATTAAAAAAAAAAAAAAATAGTAAATATTATTATTAAAAAAAACTTTCATTCTTGTTAAATTTACTAATTTTCAATTTCATGTTTAGTTTGATCATTTTTAAATTCTAACATCCATATATTAACTTTTTACCAAATTTTATTTTTCTTTATTTCAACTAGAAATGCTTTTAAAACTTTTTTACATAAATTCTTCTTTCTGAAATCTTAAATTAAAATATTTTAGTATTTATATTCCATATTATTTTCTTGTTTTAGTAGGTTTATACTTAAAGTCCATTAATAAAATACTTATTTAGATAAATAAAATTATCTATGTTTATCATAAAGTAATTATTATTAAATTATTTAATTTTTAAATTCATTTAATTTTTAAAAATATTTCATTAAAATATTTCTATTTATTATTTTAGATTTTTATTAATATTTATAAACCATTTATCTATTTATAATATGTACCGCTTATTATAATTAATTAAATAATAATTATTTAAGTTTTTAAGTATTGAATTTTATTGATTTTATTCTTTTTTATTAATTAATAGACAATATTATCTTAAAACTATCAAAAACTAATTGTTTCTATAAATAAAGAAAAAAAATATATATATTTTATTGATATATTTTATTAAAAATATATAAAAAAAAACCTTTTTTAAATTATGAAATTTATTTACTATATTAACTTTATTTAAAATATCTAATTTAATTTTCTCTGCCTATTCTTTTTTTTTAATTTCTTCCATATATTTTTCAAATTGAATTTATGAAATTTCTTGTTTTTTAGCCTATTATATTTATATTTTATAATTATCTTTTTCAATTAATCTTTGAATTCTTTTTTCTTGGTTTATTTTAGCAAAATTTTCAGCTTTTATTAAGTTATCCTCAAATTTTAAATATTCTTTATTTAGTTGATAAATTTCTATTTTGATTTTCCAATATTTAAAAGATCTTTTCTAAAGTATTTAATTATAATGATTAATAGCAATTTATTTTTTCAATAAATAAATATTTTTCAAATTTAAAAAGTATATTTTTAATCTTTTTATTGAAAATCTATTAATTATCTAGAACAAAAAAAAAATTATAAATATATAATTTTTATAAATACATACTTTTTATTCTTAAAACTTTATAAATAAATAATTAAACTTAATTTAATTAAAAAAGTATTGAAATAATTCTTTTTTTTTATTATTTAAAACTTTATTAGTAATTTGATTAGCTTTATTAAAATTAAAAAAACTTAAATAAATTATTAATTATTTAATTTTAAATTTAAAATTACTTATATTGAATAATTAATTTAGAATTTTATGTTGATTTAATAAGGTTATATTATTTATTAGAAAGTTGCTAATATTATGAAAATAATTATTTAATTTTCAATTTAGAATTATATGATTAATTATTTTGTTAAAAAAAATTGCATTAATTTTGAATTTGATTATACATTTTATAAATTTATGCTTTAAATTAATAATTTAATATAATATAATGTATATAATTGAATAAATAAAAATTAAAATAAAAAAAAGTATATATTATTTATATTTATATATATATAAAAATATCAATATATATATTTTGATAAAATAATATATATATATAATATTAATCTATATATAAAAGTTATATATATATATATATATATAAAAATTAAAAATAAAATATATATAAATATATATATATATATATATATATATATATATAATATAAAATAACTTTTTTAAAAATCTTTATATATATAATTAATAATTTTTTTTAAGTAGAAATATATATATAAAAACTTATCTATAAGAATAATAAAATTTATATTTTTTATTTTTATCTTATTAATTTTATTATCAATCTTATTAATTTTATTTTTATTATTATTAAGTTATATTTAATGAATTATAACTATCTTCTTCACTTTTTATATCATTACTAATTTTCTAGTTATTATCAAGTATTTCTTCTAATCCTTCTTGTGCGTTTTCATCCTCATCATCTAAAATATCTATACATGAATCTTCTTCTGTCTAAATTTTATCTTCTAAATATTCTTATTCAATTTTTTCATTATTATCATTTTTTTATTAATTTTCATCATCACTTTCATCTGAATTTTAATTAAAATCTCTTATAATCCCAAATTATTTTTATTCTTATTTTTTTTATTCTAAACTAAAAATCATATACCCGATTAGTAAACCTATAATAAACCAAAACGGTATATATAAAATTAAATTAATTGCTTTTTGTCCTTTTCTTAAGTCTTTTATTTTCATCGCAGAACAATCTTTTCCTGTAACTCCTTATCTACAATAACATATTTGATTTCTACAAATTCCATTTAAACTACATTTATTTAAACATTCCGATAAATCGCTATCTTTTTTTGATTTTTCTTTATCTTGTTCATTTTTATTCTATTATAAATTAATTGCTACTAATTACGATATTTTTTAACTTATGTCCATTTCCTACTCTTCTATTTATATTTCTTAATTTTCTTATTTTATTTCTTTTTCTTTTTTATATTTTTCTTCTTTTTTTTTTTCTTCGTTTTTATTTTTTTCTTCATTTTAATTTTAATCTTCTTCTATTTGTACATCTTCATTTTATTTTTATACTTTTTCTATTTCTATTTCCTATTTTTATATTTTTGTTTGTCCTTCTTTTTATTTTTCTTCTTATTTTTAGTTTTCATCCATTTTTTAAGTTTCAATATGTTTCCTTCCATTATTCAAACTCTCAAAATCAGTAGCATTAACTTATTATTAAGTTTAATTATGATGTAATGTAATATTCTGTTTTTTCTTTTTTTCCATATCAGCAACACTAACTGAACAATCAATATCTCCATATCCGTTACTAAAAAAAAAAAAATTAAAAAAAAAATTAAAAGAAATTTAAAAAAAAATAAACATCACAAATACAAATTCCAGTATCCTTATTACATTTTCCTTTCCCATTACAATTATTAAGGCATTCGTTAAAAACAACTTATTCTCTCAAAAATTTCACAAGAATCTCCATAATATCCATTTAAACACTAGCAGCTTCCATTATCTAAACACTTTCCTTATTTCTAATCAGTACAATTAAACGGACAAGGTACATAAATCTCACAAACCTTTCCCGAAAACCCTGGAAAGCACTTGCATCTTCCATCACTTCCACAAATTCCCCTATTAGAGCAATTTCTTTCGCATAAAAGTTGAATTTCGCAGCTTTCCCCAAAATATCCTTCCTCGCATTAACATCTATTATTCCTACAAATTCCCTTATTATGGCATTTTTTTGGACATACATCACTTATATTCATCACAAGAAAATCATTATAACATTTTCTCATCATTTTGCACCCTCCAAATACATACAAATCCGCTCCCATCAAAGAAATACTACTATTATCCATTTATTCTAGTATATTTTATAATGGAAATTCTAAATTAGTCCAAGTAATATCTTCTATATTTAGTTAATATACTTCATTAAAGCATTTCTCTTATTTATAATTACACCCTCCTATTATGTATATATACTTTCCATGTAAAACAGTCTAATGCCCTTATCTTTCAATTGGCTTTGTGCCAAAACTTTAACTAATAATTCTCCATTTCATATTTTCTACATCCAATTACCAAATATCATTATTTTCTCCCCCAATAGAATATCCTCCGAAAATCCAAATATAAGAATCTCTGATTAGATTCATTGAAAAATTTTCCCTAGGACGAGGCAATTCTCCATTAATAAAAGGTTTTTCCCACCTTAAATTTACTAAATCAAGAAAAAAGACTTCATTAGAATATCCTTATTATGTATATCCTCCAAAAATCACTATTCTTCCATTATTATCTAAAATCGCTTTATGGTTGCATCTTCCAGATGGCTTTTGTCCTATTAAATTTAATTCTTCCCAAATTCTCTTTTTTATTTATTTAATTATTTTTATTTAAAAATAAAAAAAACATTTGTTAAATCTAAACGATATAAATCGCTAAAGATTCCTAAACTAGATGAACCCCCAAATATATATAAATATTATCCGACCAAAGTTGAAGAATGTCCACCTCTTGGAGAAGGTGGATCTCCAAAAATTTTAGGAAGATCCCATTTTTAATCACTATTATTATATAAAGTATTATTCTTATATATATATTTTATAATTTTTTATTTATTACACTATGTTATAAAAGTATATATCATTCATACATTTTAAATCTAAATAACAACCTCCGAATAAAATTAAGAATTATCCGATTGCATTTAATGAATGACCTCCTCTTTATTCAGGTATATCTCCGTCTGATATTACTGGGTACCATTAAAAAGGCTCATATATTGGAACAGTATATTTTTAAGGTCTTTTTTCATCATTTTTAGGATCAACAGTGATTTTACTTTCCTTAAAATCAATTTCTTTTATTTTATTTATATTTATCATTTATGTTTATTTAGTTATCGGGTCATATCTTCTTAAAAAAACATCTCCGTTATCAAATTATATTATTTCATTATCAGAATCTGCCATTTTTATTATTAAAGGGGATTTGTCTTCTTATTTGATTTATTTTTCTTTTTATTCATTTTCATTTTCTTATTCTTATTGATTATGTTTTTATTGTACTTTTTTTTATATTTATTCAGTAATTGTTAAGTTGCTTTCTTTTTAAATATTTAATGATTATTTTTATATATTTTTTTCTTAGTTTAATTTATTTTTCGGCTTTTAATTTTCTGATAATATTAACGGAATTATATTATATTAACCTTAATATTATTTAATTGATAAAACTAAACTAATAAAACAAAAAAAATATATATATTCATTTTTTTTATAATTATATTCCTATTTTTTATTTTTTGTATATATTTTTCTTTTTCTTTTTTTAAAAGTTTTAGAAAAAATTGTTTCTTTTATTTGAAATAATATTTTTATATAAAAACGTATTTTTTAGAACTCAGACAATAAATTAATTAATTTATTTTAAATTTGCCATTTATTATTAACAAAAAATATATTTTTAAAAAAATAATTATATTAATTATGGTTTATTATTTTTACAATATAAATAAAAAATATAAAGAAAATGTAAAAGATTAATAAATTAACACGAAAAGATATTATTATTTATCTTTAAAAATTTAAAAATTGATAATTAATATTTTATTGGAAAAATTAATATTATTTATTTTTTAATAATTTTATATATATTTACGATTTTTTTAGAAAACTAATTTAATATATTTTGTTTTTATTTTATTTTTTTATTTCTATTTTTTTTATTTTATTTTTTTTATCTTATATATTATATTTGTATTTTTATTTTTATTAAATTGCTATAAATATGTAAATTCATATTTTAATTTTTATATATTAGTTTATTTTTAAAAAATTTTAATTAGTTTAATTAATTTTTTTAAAAGTAAAAAAGTTAATACAAGAAAATATTTATTTTTTGTTAATATACTCTAAGTTTAAGATATTTTTTAGAATTTTTTCATTAAGTATTTTTGTGTTCAACTTAAAATACTTTAAAATATTATTAACCAAAAATAGGATTTTATTACTAAAGTTTTAATATTTCTATTTAAAACATAATAA